TTGTCCCTCCGAATGTTGGCAAAGACCGCGATGATCCATAATACAGCACGACCTGCTCTTTTGTGCAACAATTCAGCGAGGATGTTACTTTTTCCACACACCACATTATTTCCTTAAATAGTGTAATTTCCTCTTGTTGTGTATGTCACGCAATTGGAATTGGTTGTGGATCCGTCTCTGAGTGGATGATGCTCTGCACATAGATTTACATGCATTCATCGCCGTTTACATGGAACCATGGAACCGGAAGTTAACGTGCAACTTCAGCGATCGTCCAATGGGAGCCTGTAAATCGTGGTGCGTCCGCCTTTGTGACGAAGTCACGAACCGGACTGTCTCTGCTTCTTATAGGGTGCGTTCGATTAGCTTCCCTGAAGACACCGGTGTTACACCAAGGGAAGCCTCGAGATGAGGGTAATCGAACGCTGCAGTGTACTCGCCAAGGCATTCTGGGAAAAAGGTGAAGTCCCCGCGACGTTCCATCATCATTCCATCACGAACAGTCCATCCGTGACGTCATTACACTCGGGCAGCCTCCAGAGACCCGCTCGCCAGCCAGGGTAGTAATGGCTGACACCAGGGCAGGCACGAGAATCACGTGATGGCTAAACGAACGCTCTCGTGTAAGTTTGACTTACACGTGAAAGCTAATCGAACGCACCCATTGTTGGGTAGCGTTACGATATGTGTGGCGTCATAAAGGCAATATTAGCGTGCGCGTTTTGTCTCATAGCAACTTGACCCCATGAAATCTGCTGTTCTTTGTACGCGCACCATTTCCGCAGTGCACTGAAAACAACAAACCGACAGATTTTGTTTTACTGCCGTTCTTTGAACATCCTACTGTGATTACCTCAGCGATTTTTGCGAATTTATCGATAGTTGTTGACGTTTCGAGAAACAAATATTAGGATCATGATGGAGAATACATGTACATCATCGGTAAGTTTCTTTAACATAAAGTAAGAATTTTTCGGCAAACTGTTTGAGAAGGTTTTGTTGTAATAACTTATGCTGAGATGTTTATGGGGAAATAATGGACACAATCGAAATACCACATTTTTCACACGCAAAAGCTAAACTAAATTTGCAAACGGAATACTGAAGTGTCTGGGTTAAAATACTGTTAATTCAAGGAAACGAGAAAATTCTAGGCCTGTGCAGAATATGCCTGCCCCATGCATTATACAAAGTACTACCCCATCACAAAGAAAAAAAGAAACGCAGTCGTTTCCAAAAAAACCTGATGTCAACCATTGCTGCTTCCCTCAACGAATTCATCCGATCTCAAGCAAAATGTGCATAATATTGACCATGCATCAAAGTTTAGCTTCGTCTCAGGCATCAGTCTTGTATGTGCGGTCCTGATTATGGCTCTTGTCAATGCCCTTTTTAGTATTAGAAAAAAATACTACAACCACTGGTGTCATGTTAAAGCTTCATGTTCTTGTCAAAAAATTGCCGATGAAGAGCCAAAATCTTTAAACTCTGGGACTAAAGATAAAGAAGCTGGAATATGAAGCTGAACACGGAAGCGAGGTCAAGATTTCATCGATGATCATAAGCCTCCACGATTTCCACGAAGACTATAAACAAATTTAATACCTGTCGCTCCATACAAAAAGAATGGTTTGATTGAGACAAAATTTGTTTCCAAAATCCAACAAATCTATTACTGAATTTCACAGATGTCTGCTTACTACCAGCAGATGACTAGCTGGATTTGTAGGCATGTCCGTCCCAATCAGTCAGGGATCTCTCGGACCGCAGTACAGGTAAATCTTTTAAAAAAAATTTAACGTGGTACAAAACACAAAAATACATGTAATATCCAAGTGCTCATAGGCAAACTAGCTTCAAACACTCATCATACTCGAACCGTTGGGTTATCCTCCACAAAAAATACATGCAAGTTTTGTTTACTATAGGTAACAGAAAACTTTAAAGTTAACAAGAGTTAACGTTAACGTTTAAAGCTAACAAGAGGAGATACGTGTTTATTAAGCGTTGTGTTGTAAAAGTAGATAATTATTTGAACCCTCCAGGATACAGAAGTCCAAGAAAACTAATTTCAAACTGATTGTTCTAAGATAATGCTCACCATTGTATTAACGGTATTTGTGGTTGAATTGTCTTATTTTTAAGCCTTGCTGATATTGTAACTTCAACAGGTTCTTTCTACAACCTCCTGCATTCCATCTGATATCCACTGCCCGTCCTCCACAAGACTGAGTAAGACTTGGGCTAGGCGAAGATCTTATCCTAAACCTGAGTATTATCCCGACAAATTAGTAAGCCACGCTACTTTACCTTGGAACTTTGAAATATTAATGTACGAAAACTGTTTTAATGAATTTATTTGAGATTTATATTTCTGCGTACCAAAATAAATAATGATGATTAGAAGACTTTCAAATGAATTGTTGAAAATACTTACGGTGAAATAGGTCAACAAGTTAAAAATAAATGTGCACTTGTGGACTCATGATTTCATGAAAGGACTGTTGAAACCTGTAGCTCTATATCTCAAACAATAACTTTGCAGGCTTACGAGGAGAAAACATTTTAAATTAAATACTGGGTTCAATCCTAGATCATATAAAACAATTATTTCGTTCGATCCAATTGAGTCTGTTGTTTTGGTTATCATCATTTAAAAGGTTGACGGGATTTGTGGAAACTCCAATGCCCGAAGCAAACACAGAGAGGCCGATGAGAATGACCAACCGATTTGCTGCCTCTACCTACCAGGCCTTCCGTTTAGTAGATGGAGACGCCGTAGACAAGCTAAAGTGGCACCCTTCATACCACTATCACCCCCAATAAAACCTACCGTGACATCGCCAACGGCTGGTCACGAGGCTCCTGCTCAACCCAAGGCAACAGAGCTCTCTGTGTTCGATCTGGAGGACGAAAACGACCAAGAGAGCCCAAGCCTAGGTCTTCCATCTAGGCAGATGATAAAACAAGACTTTGATGAATGGCGTCGGAGAGAGAGAAGAGTCACACATATTGGACTTGAACAAGATGAGATTCAAGGTATCTCAAGAGAAGTTATCGCCTTTCCACCGAGACCAAAGACATCGAGGGGACTCAGAAGTGAAAGTGAACGGAAAGATAGACCCTCTGCTGTGAAGACACTGGAGCTGTCAGGTCATGAGGTCAATATGTGGATCAGAGAATGCGCTGAAGTGCTGAATCCTCAGACCCTTGGATCAAAAACAATCAACGAGCCAGGAAGCTCCAATGACAATCTTGATGAGGAAAAGAGAGTCAGTGTCAAGTCAAGGGGAGTTTGTGACACTTTCGAACAGAAGGAATTAGTTGTCACAGGACATAAACAAATCCTCGCAAACAACGACACCCAGCGCGAATATGCAGGAAGATCAACGAAGACATCAAAAGTAGAACCCCTTCCCCCAAGACCGAAGACTTCAAGAGGCACCAGACGAGAAAACGGAGGAGGGGATTCATTATCAGTCTCCAGTGCAGTGAGAGTAGTGGAAGCTGGATTGGAACAAGCTGTCAGAGACGTGTTAGTCCTTGACACAGCCGAGTCTTTGGAACTTACAAATGAGAAGAGACACTTCTCCTTGAAGGATTCACGAGGCTCTGGTAAGGTGTTGAACCCTGGGGAAAATTTGGATGAGGTAGATGATGACGAAAGAAACCCAACTCACGCGTCGGGAAGAGTTGATGAACATAACACAAAGGCAGCGAAGGGAGATGAAATGGCTCCCACGTTAGATCAAGTCTCACCACCAAATTGTGCGAAACAGAATCAACCGATAACTCCAAAGTCTTCTAAAAATTCAATGGATGCAGATGATATGATGATAACAGCCGAACAGGAAATGGAGTACGAACGCCAACAGCATGAGCAGTGGCAACTAGCTGCAATTGGTGAATGGTCCACTTTGTGTCAAGACCATGATGAAGACGATTATGAGTCAGAGTGTTACCTAAGAATGGATGAGTTCCAGAAAGAAACAGCCATCATGATGGACTGGAAGGCTATCGTCGAGCAGTATCGTACTGTTGGTGTTATCCAGGACCTACAAAATATAGAGACGTTATGTAAGAGCACCATCAACCAGAGCGAAAGAGCTCTGCGGCAGTTTGCCCGGATCTGTCGCGGTCCCGTGCCACTATCAAAGTCGGGGCAAACTAAAGCCGAAGCCATCGCTTCACTCTCCAGAATAGTCCAGAAACAGACCAGGAGGATCTGTGAAGATATCTCCAACGTCTTCTCAGAGTCCTACCAAATCTTGGAGGAGTTGGACCTCTTGAGGGAGAGACAGGATCGAGTGGAAGAATCCCTACAAAGGGATCTGAGAGAGAAGGATGCAGAAGAAGAACGATCTCGGTCAAGTTCCCTGAGTTCAACCGCCACGCCGAGGCTAACATCCAGTCGGCTACAACAGAGAGAGATTGACCAAGACCTGGTGGACAGATACATGGAATACCCCAGGGTGAAATCCACGAGTCTATTCAATGTCATGCCGACCATTTACGAAGACAAAATTTTCCAACTGAATGAATATGAAGAAGAGGAGGAAGAGTTGGAAAGTGATTTACCGGAATGCAAAGGAATGGAGGATGTCTATCTTCATGAAGATGACGCCAGAGAGCATGACACAGCAGAGGACGATTGTCCAGATGTTCTCCTCGTGGAGGAACTGGGAGTTAAACATTGATCAACGCATTGGAACGCAGCACAGAAACAAGATGAGGATGAACGTGAAAGTGAAGCGGAAGCATTTGAAGAGATGGAATAGGAGTTGACCTACAGACTGCAGATTGATGTATATAGAGAAAGCTTAAAGGATAAATCTTGATGGAGATGTTGAGTGTTAAGTCATATTTCAAATGGACGGTGGTTAAATTATCACTAGTAGCGACATGTCATTTTGGTTTCCTTATTTTCCTTCATTCCTTTCAGCCAAATATTTAGGTATGAGAACGGAACGAGATGGGATCGATCTTACTAAAGCTACAACAGGAAAGGAATGAAATAGTATCCAGTGTTATTGGAAAGTGCATTTTGTAGAGTTCCATTGAATGATCTACTAATCGTATGATGTACAAATATATTGTGCAATCTTGGTAGTGCTCTAATACAGTTGCACGCTGCAAGTTGCATAGTTTAAGCCCCCGGATGATGAGGGGTAGTTTTGGACTTGTTGACAAAAGGTTGTGGACTCTTCTCAAGCCGGGAGTGGAGAGACACCGGCAGAAACATTGAAAGAAACACCGTACCTTAACTTGTCGCTGCCATTCGTAATTAAGATGCTAGTAATTTGGAAGTTGGTATTTAAAGTGTATTTTTTCTTTGAAAGAAATTCGTGGAAAGTAGCAAGACATGGAAAGTCATTTTGGCCTGAACAGAAATATGTATAAAGTGGAAACTCCTAGCATTAGACCTAAAAGAAAATACCAAAATCATTGTATTCTTGACAAAAATTCAGAAGATTTTATCTTAAGCAGGATAAAGAATAAGTAAATAAAAAAAGAAAGAAAACCTTTAAAAGAATTTAACCTTTTTAAAAACGGGACGAACTATTAAAATTAACCCATTGTTCCCAGGTGCTGTTTGAAAGTATTCGAAGTCACCTGTGAATACAATTCGCCACAGGTATTTTGAACGTTTATATATAAAGCAATCAAACTGGAAACATGAATGCTTTTGCTCGAATAAATTTTAATATGAGAGGTTTTTACCGCACTTAAAGTATTACCATAGAAAATTTTTGCTTTGAGATCCTGGACACAAAAATACTGTGTTTATTTGAGGGTGAATCGCAAACCCTTTTAATATTCAGTGAGTTTGTTCAAACTTGCCACGCTATGGTGAATACGCAGCTTTGGAACTCGGTTATGATTGTATAAAAACAGAACATTTTCACCCAAGTACCGAAAATGAAAATCTGTATTCATAGCCCGTAACTAGATTTTTAAAATGTAGCATTTTGGAGAGATGGGTGTTTCATTTTCACTCTCAGTTGTTATGGGCTAGTCAATGCTTCGCTTTGTACACTAAGTCTGAGTGAAGAAATGTTTTTACTGATTAAAGAAACTTTTTTTTGTTTTTACATAATATCCGTTAATTGGGATGTCGAGAAAGTTGCTATGGTACAACAAAGCAAGGAATTATACATACAGAATCTGGATTTGATTAATTAGTCTGAATTACTTTTGGGCACTCAATGTCGCTACTGAACGCAAACAGATTCTGCAAATGGCAGATTGAAGTCCAATGGTAAATTATGGTCAAGAGCCTTTTATTTTGTGATTGTTGGGACGATTTTGAACTGGACTACATGAGTATTTCGAAGTGTAGAACTTCTTTGTCAGAAAAACAATATGAAGGGCTTAATTAGAATCAAAGCATTTATCTTCACCTGTAGAGTGGAGACCGTGCCGTGCACAAGCGAACTTGAAAAGGTTAAAACGTCCCTTGTTGTATTAAAGGCAAGGAACTTGGGGCATCGCAACCCCGACGAACTTAGAAGCCAGCATAAAGCGCAGATTTGAACCTAAAACTGCCCGGGGATGACCCAATTAGGAATAAGTTTCTCTAAACCCGCCTATCGCCGGCGATATCATTCACGAGTCCATTTTTGTAAAAAAAAACCTACATTGTAGATCATGGTAGTTGCGTAGGACTTTCACGGTGGTATGAGGTGCAGGGAGGCATTTTTTTCTAGAAAAAGACTGACAATATGTTTTCATCTGTAAAAGCCCCCCCCCGGCCCCAACGGTGGTTGCAGGCCCGTATGGGAAGCCAAACACCGTTGGTCACCCGGGCCACCTTAAGATCTCAGAGGGCTCCTTGGATTTGACTAAACGTCTTTTCCCTCCGAATGTTGGCAAAGACCGCGATGATCCATAATGCAGCACGACCTGCTCTTTCGTGCAGCAATTCAGCGCGGATGTTACTTTTTCACGGGAGGCATGGAGCACTGAAAACTGAATGTCCACAGCACATTATTTCCTGAAATAGCGTAATTTCCTCTTGTTGTGTATGCCACGCAATTGGAACTGACATAAGACCCTGCCGAACAGCATCCAGAATTTTGTTCACATTTTCTTGGAATGCAAGTCAACACTCCTACTTGTACGCGTGGGTCTGACGGTAGGCCTACTTTAATAAGCCTCATCCATGTCATTACCTTGTGCATCGGGGCCGACGTATCTTTGCTTGCAATTTCTGGGTTACTTCTCTTTTCTCTTTGTTTGGGAAACTCACGTGCGAAATGCCCGTAGCTCATTGCAATTCCAGCACACTGTAGGTTGTCTATTCTGTCTCCATCGGTCCCCATTCTGCCGGTCGTATGAATCATTCTTTCAACTCGATTGTTGCATCTACTTCTGGCTATCCTTCTCCGCACAGTTCTCAACATCTTGCTTGACTGAGTCATCTTGCTAATTTCAGCAGACATTGCTAAAATTTTACTCTTGAGTACATCTGTCTCTTTTTTTTCAGTCTTTTCCTCTTGCTCTGACGAAACTGCCATTACCATCTTTCTGTTATGAGGTGTATTATCTTTGTCTGTCGGCTGCTTTGAATGCCTCTAATTCAACAGCAATTCGAACAGCGTCGTCCAGGTTTGTTGGCTTTGACTGAAACCCTCGCCATCTTGCCTCGTTGTCACAAAGGGCGTCGATGAAATGTTCATTTATACTTAATGTCTCTTGCAAGTCTTATGAAGCAGAGTGATACGCAAAACGGACAAGCTGCTACACGGCCGGTAGCCTGGAAAAGTTTCCTCTCTCTTTCGCTGCCGATTCTTTAACTGAACTCAGAACAGTTTAGAATCCACAGATAACGCGTTGACCAACGCTCTGTAATTTCTACACGTGTCTTTGTCCAAGTCGCCTAAAACGGCTTGCACTGCTTCTCGCAGGGTTGCCGCCCAATACATGGCCTGAGCCTAATTGTCACCCCATTCATTCATTTCTGCTACCATTTCAAATAGTAAGGCATAATGGTTCCGTGAGCTTGTTCCGTACTCATACACGGTCGGTTTGATTCTCACTTTGGCTTTCAGACTCTGCATTTCTTAAACTCTTGTCCTCTATTTCTGGGGTCGCATGTTACTACTTTACTGCTTTCGCTTTCGTTTTCTCTAATTCCCTCTGTAGAACCATGAATTAATCTTTCATCCCGTCGAAAACCTCTTGCCGTTCTATTATTTAATCAGGTTTTATTTGGAAGGACCATTGACAAAATGATCAAACTTGCATCTCCGTCTTCCCTCAGTTGGATTTCCTCAGAATTTGTGATTGAAGTGTCGCTAACCTTATCATTGTCCCTCAAAAACCTCTTTCCTTGATTGGTCACGGATTTCAGAAACTTGGCGTTTCATCTTTCTTTATATGAAGACCACTCTGCTTTTAAAATCCGTCCCACCGCTGCCGCCCAAAATGTAACGATTCGAGGTTCCTATGAATCAGTCTTTCAACCTGAACCCTTTTTTAGGTTTCGAGGAAGGATTCCCGCTGGTTGATTTCTACAGACTTAAAAGCCTGAAAGTTGACCCTTGATAGAACCGTTGGATAGGAAAAATAACGTGCAAAGATTTTAGAATTTGTAATATATTTTCGTTCAGTTACTTCTTAATTAAAAAATCCAACTCGGAAAAGGGGCTTTGGAAAATATTTGCTGGTATATCAATGTATAGAAACTTAAATATCATCTGACCTAAAAGAGAAATATCCTGCCATAAATTGACCCATCACTTTCAAAATCTAAAATACATGAAGAACAGTGCAATGAGGCAGTCTCGTACGCAGATTAACGTTTATGGTCGGTAAAAGCCGAAGTAAAATACAGATCTAAATAATTTACACAGTCTTATAGTTTATAAGCAATAAACTGAAAGCAACATTCTCCTTCAAGTACGAAAGATTTTAATCTTTTATTTAACCTTTGCTGACAACAACTGTGATTTGTGTGATGTCAACTCAACGGAATAGAACCCATCGACTGCAAGTAGGTAAATCTTTGCAACGTTGCACAATCTCGTTTTCACGTAAGCACTGGCAGTGAAAACAAACGCATGTACATGAACATGGAGACCTAGGTATGATGTCGCCGGAAGTGAAAGGTCGTTAAAAGAGAACTCGTTTTTTAGCTATCTACATGTGACTTTTCCCAAATATTATTTGAAGAAGACAAAGGTAAAATTCCAACATTAGTGTTTCGTGGGGTGGTTTCAGTTAGGAATTGGTCTTCCAAAAATTATTGAACGTAATAGGGCGGCCCAACGTAAAATCCCCATAGGAGGACAAGCGAGGGTTCTGGAAGCTCGCTTCGTGACCTTTTACTTTCAGTCTCTATTGAATTCAAGGAAATTGAATCGTTCAGATGTGGGGTTGCCTGATAACTGCGTGTTTCACCTCTCATTCGTTTACACTCATCACAATCACGAAATGTACATAGCGCCCTCTTCTGATTCAATCAATCAGTGCCGTGGCTGAGTTCATCGTTACGCTTTTGCTTCGTGTACTAAAGGGTGTATTTCACCAAATGGTTGTATTTCTGCGCTCCAGCTCATTGATATTTTGTGATCCCACGGAGTTTTTACAATAAAACATGCCATAATCAGGAGGCATCGTAGAAATATTTCTATAAATTCCAAATTTGGGACTGATAGTTTCCAGTTCGGGGTATAAGTTCACAAAAAGCCCCAAATTGCGGGCCTATTTTGGATACTGGTGGGCGGCTTCATTCAGAAATGAGCGCTTAGTTTTACTGCTGTTTTGGGGGTATCTTCCTTGAAAGAGAAATAAAGAAAGAGTTTCGTGGCTAACCCCAATGAAATTGAAACGAAAAGTGATAATCTTGAATTTCCAGTAAAAACGGAGACCTCTTCACGAGAGTCAACAGGCGGCGCTATTTCAGTCC